TCAGTAGCAGGTGTGGAGGATAACACAGGTATGGTTAATGACTGCCAGGTGAGTGTGGGAGGGGAGGTGGGTGTGGGAGAGGAGGTGAGTGTGGGAGAGGTGAGTGTGGGAGAGGAGGTGGGTGTGGGAGAGGAGGTGAGTGTGGGAGAGGAGGTGGGTGTGGGAGAGGAGGTAGGGTGGGGAGAGGAGGTGGTGTGGGAGAGGAGGTGGGTGTGGGAGGGGAGGTGGGTGTGGGAGGGGAGGTGAGTGTGGGAGAGGCTGTAGGAGGGAGGAGGAATAGGAACAGGATGCAATTGCGTCTTAGTGGAGGAGGAGGTGGGTGTGGGTTGACTGCTTCTCAATCATTATTTATATTCTGTGACTGATTGATTCCCTTTCGTTCTTTCTTCACACACACACACACACAAAGCTATTGACCTCGGGCTTCGGAGAAGTCTTATACCATGGCTTACAGACTTCCTCAGTGACCGACGCCAAGCTGTACGCTTCCGAGGGGCTGTCTCCACCTTTCAGTCACTCACCTGTGGCGTCCCCCAAGGCACCAAGATGGGACCACTCTGCTTCCTTATGCTCATCAATGATGCCCTAAGAGAAACCCCTGCTGGCTGGAAATATGTCGACGACTCCACCATTGGGATCAGCGTCAACAATTCTGCTCCCAACTATACCGCCCTTCAGGATTTATTGAACAGTCTCCAAAACTGGGCCACCAACAACCATGTCACCATCAACCATACCAAGACCATGGTTATGCACATCAACCTCTCCTCCGACATTGTCCCACCTTCTTCCATTACTCTAGGTCCGAACACACTCCAGGTTGTAGATTCCACGAAGCTCCTCGGCGTCACCATAGACAACAAACTAAATTGGAAACCACACGTCAGTGAAGTTATCAAATCCTCCAGTTTCCGTCTCCACCTCCTCCGCCGACTCAAGTCCCTCGGAGTTCCTGCACACGAGCTCCTCAGTGTTTACACAACATTCATACTTCCCAAGCTCACCTATGCCTCCCCCACCTGGTCTTCCTCCCTAAATGCCACACAACGTAAACACCTAGAAAAAGTGCAAAGAGGGCGTGCAAGATTATTCTCTCCCCTTCCTACTCCACATATCAAGAAGCGCTCAACACACTGACCCTTTCGACTCTCACTGACCATCACCACGACCTCATCTGCAAATTTGGTAAGAAGCTTCTACACCATCCCCGACACCGGCTCCTACTACCACCTGAGATCCCTTGTCCGAGAATTGCTGTTCGACACCACAACCGCATCCAGCCCATACGTGCACGAACTGATCGCTATAAGAACAGCCCAGTCCCAACCATTGTAAAAATTATCAATAACTTGTAATAAATCAGTGTATTCACTCCCAGTAAACACTGCTCCTTACACTGTCACTATGTTGAAATGAACTGTAGTTTGAGCTTTTCCCACATCTAGTTATTATATGTCTTATTTGTGTCACTTATGTTACTTGTATATTATTTGTGATTCGTAACCCATTCCCCAAATATGTAACTGTATATTTTCAGCCTTCTGGCTGCCAAGCTCTTTCAATAAACCGTTAATTATTATTATTATTATTATTACAGCCATATGAGGGAGATGTTTGATGGTGTTAGTGGTTGTGGGGGTGGTGTGAGGGGAAGTCAGTGTCCCACTTGTTGACTGCCACACACGTACACCTCTCACTGTCCTTGTCGATAAATACATACATGTACATACATACATACATAAATACATACATACATACATAAACAACTTTAATATTTAGGTCCAAATACTCAGTAAACGTTTTTCACACACACACACACACACACACACACACATACACACACACACACACGGATGATAGAACCAGGTCACTTTACTCTTACTTAGACGCCAAGATAAACAAACTTTTGAGAGAGAGAGAGAGAGAGAGAGAGAGAGAGAGAGAGAGAGAGGAGGTAAGGTGAGGTGAGGTGAGGGAGAACGTCAGCAGTGGTACCCAAATATAGCCAGGTACAGTGTGCGTACTACTCCTCTCTTATAAACACTCTGTTATTTATCACCATGGGGGAGTCTCTCTCTCTCATGCTAAACATCAACCAATAGTCACCATTGTAACGGTTCGTGCAATAAGTTAAAGAAAACGAGGACATAAGACAGTTTCCAGGGGAGACAATATTAATTCTAGCTGTTTATATTGATAGTCATGAGTGTGTGTTATCTGAGTGTGTTATCTGAGTGTGTTATCTGAGTGTGTTATCTCAGTGTGTTATCTGAGTGTGTTATCTGAGTGTGATTGATGACATAAATGGCATGCCTAGACCCGTATGGTGATGATTTAGGGTGAAGGGTGGTGATGGGTGTTGGTAGTAGGGTGTAGATCGGGTGGTGACAGGGTGTAGGTCGGGTGGTGACAGGGTGTAGGTCGGGTGGTGACAGGGTGTAGGTCGGGTGGTGACAGGGTGTAGGTAAAGCTGTGAGGTGACTCCCCAACTTCAGTAATCTCTTTTCATTATCTCACGTTTTGTAAACACTTATGTGGTAGTGACACACACACACACACACACACACACACACACACACACACACACACACACACACACACACACACACACACACACACACACACACACACACACACACACACACACACACACACACACACACACACACACACACACACACACCCCTAACCAATAACGAACAAATCGTCCCATTTCTAGCCATTTTCACATCTCATCTTTGTGTCAAAAGTTAAATGAGTCAGTTCGTTATTTTCTTTACCAATTAACGAGAAAAAAATCAACTTACGAACCGTAGAGCGAGAAGGAAACCAACCCGGAAGATGCAGCAGGTGTGTCGCTAATGAGGACCAACGTACCTGTGTGGCGCCACCTGGTATTGTAATGGTGGTATATTATTATAAGTATATTAATTATTTATATACAACGGTGATATTAGATTTACCTTATATACTGGAGGGTGAAGCTTGTGAGGGTGGGGGGGGTGAAAGGTAGGGGTAACAGTGTTGGGTGTCTGGGGGGAGGGGGTGAAGGTAGGGGTAGTGTTAGGTGTCTGTGGGGGAGGGAGATGTGAGGCAGATGAGGTAGGGGGGTGTAAGGCGAGGGAGGGGTGGTTAAGATGAGGGGGACAGGTGAGGGGGTGACGGGTGGTAAGGACAGTAACATCAGGTGACCAATGGGGCTCAGATAAACGTACCTGTCACCCAATTAATTATTTATATCTTGGAAGTCCACCATTGGCTAGCGAGAGAGAGAGAGAGAGAGAGAGAGAGAGCTGCCTGTTAGTCTCAATCAGGATATTCGCCCACGTGATGGAACCGTGTTATTATTGGCTCACTGTATTTGTGTGTTTTTCCCATTTCGCACAATGTGGCCCAATTGTTAATCCTACACACAAGGTTTAGTGAGATTTACTCTAACTGAAGATTAACCCCCCAACCCAACCAACTTATTCTAACCTAACCTAACTAAATTTAACCTGGGGGCTAATCTTCAGGTGATATAAGCTGTGGGGCTAATCTTCAGGTGATATAAGCTGTGGGGGCTAATCTTCAGGTGATATAAGCCGTGGGGGCTAATCTTCAGGTGATATAAGCTGGGCTAATCTTCAGATATATTAGCTAATCAGGTGATATAAGCTGTGGGGGCTAATCTTCAGGTGATATAAGCTGTGGGGCTAATCTTCAGGTGATATAAGCTGGGGCTAATTCAGGTGATATAAGCCAAATATAATCTTCAGGTGATATAAGCTGTGGGGGCTAATTCAGTGATAAAGCTGTGGGCTAATTCAGGTGATATGTTGTGGGTGCGTAATCTTTTCAGGGTGGGGATATAAGCTGGGGGCTAATTCAGGTGATATAAGCTGGGCTAATCTTCAGGTGATATAAGCTAATAATTGTGGTGATATAAGTTGGGGCTAATCTTCAGGTGTGATAAGCTGTGGGGGCACCAGGTGATATAAGCTGTGGGGCTAATCTTCAGGTGATATAAGCTGTGGGGGCTAATCTTCAGGTGATATAAGCTGTGGGGCTAATCTTCAGGTGATATAAGCTGTGGGGGCTAATCTTCAGGTGATCCGACACGCAATTGGTGTATTGATCTAATAAAAGTTGTTCTAGTGTTTTAATTGAATTGAAACAGTTTATTTAGCCAGAAAAATACCACCATTATCATATCAAGGTGTTATCTGTCTGACCTGAATACAACACCTGCCGACGCTGCATTACTAGATATTAGTGTGGGATTCACCTGAAGATTAGCCCCCAGCTTATTTCACCTGAAGATTAGCCCCACAGCTTATATCACCTGAAGATTAGCCCCCACAGCTTATATCACCTGAAGATTAGCCCCCACGGCTTATATCACCTGAAGATTAGCCCCCACGGCTTATATCACCTGAAGATTAGCCCCCCCTCACGTTATTTGGAGAAGGTGGTTGGGTTGGGTTAAGTTAAGGTAACGTTAGGTTAGGTTATGTTTAAGGAGAGGAGAGATGGTTGATGGGTTAGGATGGTGGGTTGACTGGCTAGGTGGGTTAGGATGGTGGACTGAGGTGGGTTGGCAAGGTGGGCAGGATAGGTGGGATGGGGTGGGTTAGCTATCCAGATAGGATGGGCTGGGGTGGGTGGGCAGGCTAAGTGGGATGGGGTGGGTTGGCTGTCTAGATAGGGTGGGCGGGCAGGCTAAGTGGGATGGGGTGGGTTGGCTGTCTAGATAGGGAGGGCTGGGGTGGGTGGCGCCAAGTGGTCAGGGTTGTTTAAGATGCCAGTGTGTGATTTTGGTCTCATTTTCCAGTGACGGTGTGGAGATGTGTTATGGTGGGGGGAGAGAAGGAGATTTTGGGGGAAAGAAGGAAGAGTTGTAAGGTGGGGATAGTTTATATTGTGACGAGATGGGGGAGAGATGCTGGTTGGGATGGGGAGGAAGATGGGGGGGGAGGGGTGACTGGGGCGGCCCTGGCACGAAGTTCTCTTCCCTCGGACAAACAAACACACACACACAGCTTCTCCCCTGCTCGCTCCAACGCTCTCGCCTTACTGCACCACACACCCCAACGGCGCGCGGCGAGGTCTTCACTTGTGCTGGCCCTCAAAAAGTACATATATTTACCACCGTGTGTTCGACGTGTACCGCCACAACACCTTTACTAGTGACGGTGGTCTGTGTGGGGAACGACTTAGTGTACTGTATGTGTAAACTGCACTGAAAACATCCACTTCAAAAACAAAGTTCCCCTCCTCTTGCTGCGTCTTCATCAGCTTCGTCAGTGTGGTTTTGTCAAGTTTTAAGTGGCAGTCAGTGTTTAAGAAGAGAAGGAGGAGGCCTTTCAATAGTGTTCCAAACTGGTGAAATACGAGTCTAATTGGTCACCGTCAACCAACTAGTGCGTAGTGTTATAACGAGACCAATCGTGACTCTTCCAAGCTGATGCGAAGCTGTTATTGGACCCTGTGTATGTGTAGGAGACAGTACAATGTATATACTGTACAGTATATGGAGACGTCCAATAGTGAAAGAACGGATTTAAAGATGGCGCGCGATTCTGTTTTTAAACCCTGCGTGTGTGTGTAATAATAATAATAATTAACGGTTTATTGAAAGAGCGTGGCAGACGAAAGGCTGAACATATACAGTTACTTAATAGGGGAATGGTTCACTTGATTTACAAATAATATACAAGTAACATAAGTGATACAAATATGATATATAATAACTAGGTGGGGAGAAGGTCATACTACGGGGCATTTCAACATAGTGACAGTGTAAAAGGTAAGTTTGACTGGGTGTGTGTGTGTGTAGAGCACAGTACAGTGTGTGTATGGACGTTAAACTCGATGTCGTGGTAACAGTAAATAGAGAGATATGGTAAGCCTAGAGAGTCTATGAGGCGTATGTTGGGCGTGGGTACATGGCGTGTTAGGCGTGGGTACCTGGGCTTTGGGCGTGGGTACATGGCGTGTTAGGCGTGGATACCTGGACTTTGGGCGTGGGTACATGGCTATCTCTACTGTGGTTCCCTGCTCTGGTGTGTGTGTGTGTGTGGTAGGACCTGTTAAATAGTGAGTAGGAATATGACAACACACACACACACACACACACACACACACACACACACACACACACTATCAAGGTTTTATGTAAATACAGCAAGTGTTTGTGGACGGTCATCAGGTGTGACGATACAGTACTGCCGCAGCTTATAACTAACACCTGGGAAATATCACCTGTAGTGCAACGTGACAGTCGGAGGAGTGGTTAGGAGGGCTGAGGGGTCGTTAGGAGGGCTGAGGGGTGGTTAGGAGGGGGTGAAGAGATAGAAAGTTGTTGATGATTAGGGGTTGGGTTAGGTCAGGTCAGGATAGTGTTCACCTGTTTACTAAGTACCTGTGACGGTAATTATATTGTATTATTATCTCTCTCTCTCTCTCTCTCTCTCTCTCTCTCTCTCTCTCTCTCTCTCTCTCTCTCTAGAACACGTGTGATAAGCATCTGTCCAGCTTAAGGTTGACCTCGACATTCACTTAAAGGCACAAAAACGCCAATGATCTTTAAATGAATAGCGCTGTAGGATAGTGGCGCGGTGGTAGAGTTGTGGTGTGTGTTACTGTGGTTGTGTAATGGTGTTGTGCTGTGGTATGGTGGTGTAATGGTGTTGTGTTGGTGGTATAGTGCTGCTGTGGTGGTGTAATGGTGTTGTGGTGGTGTTATGGTGTTGTAGCGGTGTTATGGTGCTGCTGTGGTGGTGTTATGCTGCTGTGTGTTGTGGTGCTGTGAGAATTTGATGCTGCTTTGTGGTGCTGTAGGTTGGACACACACACACACACTACAGGTAACCAAATGGCATTAATTAGGTGAACACTGTATATAGGCGTTACAGATTACAGGGCGTTAATTACACTGGCCAGGTGACTTACAGTGACCAGGTGACCTACAGTGACCAGGTGACTTACAGTGGCCAGGTGAAAGGCGTGGCGGGTGTTGTCAGGCGTGGTGGTGGAGGAGGATGTTGGCAGGGTCGTGTTGGGCAGCCAGGCGTGATAACTTCTCTTCCTGTCTGTGTGTCTGTCTCTGATGCACACAGCCTCCATCTCACCCTCCCCTCTTTAAACATACTCTCTCTCTCTCTCTCTCTCTCTCTCTCTCTCTCTCTCTCTCTCTCTCTCTCTCTCTCTCTCTCTCTCTCTCTCTCTCTCTCTCTCTCTCTCTCTCTCTCTCTCTCTCTCTCTCCTTTATCACCTACTACATCTTCGTGTGTGTGTGTGGTGTTGCGGTACACTGAAATACCTGGAGAAATGTGTGTTTTTGTGGTGACGGGGTGGTGTATGGTGACACAGTGTGGTGGTGGTGTGGTGACAAGGTGTGGTGGTGGTGTATGTGGTTAAATGAATATTGTGGGTGTGTTGTGGTAGTATGGTGGGTGGTGTCGTGATAGGTTGTGGGTGTGATGTGGTGTTGCAATATAGTGAGAGGGTGTGGTATATGGTGTAGTATAGTGAGGGTGTTGTATATGGTGTAGTATAGTGAGGGTGTACAGTAGTGTCCTCGTTAACCAAACAGGTGAATTGTCACTGGCACTCACCTGGGCCAAGGTATACGGCCAGGGTCAACACAGGGATCCTTCCGGCACTGTCACTGTCTGGCACTTTCCGCCTATCTCACCTTCACACCTCCCACATCTCCCTACAAGGTGAGGGTCTCTCGTGTTACGGTCAATGAGCTGACATAGATACATATTCTCTCTCTCAAAACCCGAGATTGAAACACAAGTTATGTGGAAGGACAAAAGTGTGTGTGTGTGTGTGTGTGTGTGTTATTCATTAAGCATGGGACTCCCACCCCGAGGCACTCCACCAATCACGAGTATTGATGACGTCACAGCTATGCGTCACGACACTGGCCTGGTTTAAGATTGGCGCCGCTCACGTTAACTCTCCCAATGACTGACCAAAACTGTTCTGTTCACTGTCTCATACTCAAGGGGTTAAGTCATACTCAAGGGGTTAAGTCACCGTACTCAAGGGGTTAAGTCATACTCAAGGGGTTAAGTCACCGTACTCAAGGGGTTAAGTCATACTCAAGGGGTTAAGTCACCGTACTCAACGGGTTAAGCTATCGTACTCAAGGGGTTAAGTCATCGTATTCAAGAGGTTAAGTTATCGTACTCAAGGGTTTAAGTCATCGTACTCAAGGGGTTAAGTCATCATTATTACTCAAAGTTTAATCATCGTACTCAAGGGTTAAATCATCGTACTCTCAAGGTTAAGTCATCGTACTCAGGGTTAAGTCATCGTACGCAAGGAGATTCAGAATCATCGTACTCAAGGGGTTAAGTCATCGTCACTCAAGGGTTAAGTCATCGTACTCAAGGGGTTAAGTCATCGTACTCAAAGGGTTAAGTCATCGTACGTACTCCAAGGGGTTAAGTCATCGTACTCAAGGGGTTAAGTCATCGTACTCAGGGGTTAAGTCATCATTGCTCAAGGGATACACCTTAGTGAGCGTAGATGTGTGCATTTAATGCACTGTAGGTGTAGGGGGTACACAGGGGGGTGTGGGGGGTACACAGAGTGTGGAGGGGTACAGGGGGTGTAGGGGGGTACACAGGGGGTGTGGGGGGGGTACACAGGGGGGTGTAGGGGGGCACGCAGGGGGGGTGTGGGGGGGTACACACAGGGGGGTGTGGGGGTGCCTGGGGGGGTGTGGGGGGTACGCAGGGGGGTGTACTGTTTGTGTATTTAATTAGTTATTTGTGTGATAACGTGGACGTCTTAATGATAAGTGTTACCTGGCATACTGTGTGTGTGAGCCCAGGTCGTTGTGTTGTTTGGCTTTGTTTTTGACAGTGGCGCCAGTCCGTGGCGTGTGTGTTTGTGCCTGCTTGGCCTTGTGTGTGAGCGGGGGTCTGCCAACATGGGCGCCACTATCCAACACGCTCCTATTAATTCGTCAACCTTTATACGGTCGTTACCCCAACCACGGTCGAGGTGCTGCTGTTGAGAGAGAGAGAGAGAGAGAGAGAGATATCCCTGAGCATCACCACTCACGGTACATCACACACACACACGTACTGTACGTGTCAAAGTCAATATGGAAACGACCTACATGCATACAATAGACAGACAGACACGAGCTCTGCACAATACATTATACAAATAGAATAATTGAATACATGTATACAGGAATGGCGATGTGGCTTGGTGCAGAGGTGTGGTAGTGTGGTAGTGTGGTGAAGAGGTGTGGTAGTGTGGTACAGAGGTGTGGTAGTGTGGTGCAGAGGTGTGGTAGTGTGGTACAGAGGTGTGGTAGTGTGGTGAAGAGGTGTGGTAGTGTGGTACAGAGGTGTGGAAGTGTGGTGAAGAGGTGTGGTAGTGTGGTACAGAGGTGTGGTGGTGTGGTGCAGGTGTGGTGGTGTGGTGCAGAGGTGTGGTGAGTGTGGTGCAGGGGTGTGGTGGTGTGGGGTGCAGAGGTGTGGTGGTGTGGTGCAGGTGTGTGTGGTGGTGTGGTGCAGAGGTGTTGTGGTGTGGTGCAGAGGGTGTGGTGGTGTGGTTTAGAGTTATTGGTAGTGTGTGGTACAGAGGTGTGGTAGTGTGATGCAAGGGGTGTGGTGGTGTGGTGCAGGGTGTGGTAGTGTGTGGGTACAGAGGTGTGGTAGTGTGTCTGGGGGTGTGGTGGTGTGGTGCAGAGATGGTGGTGTGGTGCAGAGGTGTGGCGGTGTGGTGCAGGGGTGTGGTGGTGTGGTGCAGAGATGTGTGGTGGTGTGGTGCCCAGGGGAGATGTGGTGGTGTGGTGCAGAGGTGTGGCAGTGTGGTACAGGGGGTGTGGTGGTGTGAGACAAAACTCACAAGAAGAAGATTACATATAGGTAGAATATTGATAGTATAAGAGTATAAAGAGAGGAAGACTTTGGTAGCGTGGCCGTGATAGTTATTTACACTTATCGTACACTTATCGTATCTTATACGTCAATACACATCTATTACGTTCTTAAAGGCGACTTGTCAAACACTGCTTCGTTACAACTCTTTATTAATTACGAACATGACATGGACACATTAATAACACCTTCTATTGAAAGTTACTAGGACATTATTACGTTACTAGACACTGATTCTCGGACACGAACATGAAATGAATACACTTCCCACATAAGTAACTCATCCCGTGGAAAGCTCTGACAAACACTCACGTGACCTAGGGGAGGCCTAGCAGGGAGACTGCTTAGCTGGAACACTGGTGTCGGGAGGGCGACTGCTTAGCTGGGACACTGGTGTCGGGAGGGCGACTGCTTAGCTGGGACACCGGAGGGAAGTCGGGGAGGGAAGTCCTGCAAGACTCTCCTCCCGTGAGCGGGACTCGGCTGTGGTGGACCTCCTCCTCCGATCCCTGTGTGTCTCTCTCTCTGACTCTGCCAAATTCCCTGAGGGAGGACTAGGACGTCCTATATATTGGGATGCGAGCCGTCAGGTTCAGCTGGTCGGGGTGGGGGGGGGGCGGCGAAGGGTCTCCTTACATTTGACCTGGCCAATGTGAGGTCAGGTCTGGACTTTTCAGAAACTATCTGGGAAAGTCATCAGGTGGGGCCGTGTATATTGGGAGAGCAACCGTGAGAGTTCCCCTACACTTGACCTCCCTAATGTCGGGTCAGACTGGAGTTTCTGAGATGTAAGACGTACTTTCTGGAGAAGTCATCAGGTGGGGCCGTGTGACATGAGAGGCCCTGGTTGATTTGTGGCCCCTTGAGTTGGGCTCCGAGGGTTACATTTGACCTGGCTAATGTGAGGTCAGGTCCGGCCTTTGTTCAGAGAGTAGGTTATTGTATATTGGAAGAGAGTCGGCTGGTGCCTTCTTACATGTCTGTTGTGGTGACATGTCACATGGGAGGGGAGCTAGGCTGATTTACAATCCTTGGTCAACTGCAGAGTTACCCTATACTTTTGACCTCCCTAATGTCGGGTCAAGTCTGGCTTTCCTTGCGATGTAAGCTGTGGTCTGACAACCCATCACTACAGTAGTGTGGTACAGAGGTGTGGTAGTGTGGTGCAGAGATGTGGTAGTGTGGTGCAGAGGTGTGGTAGTGTGGTACAGAGGTGTGGTAGTGTGGTACAGAGGTGTGGTAGTGTGGTGCAGAGGTGTGGTAGTGTGGTGCAGAGTTGTGGTAGTGTGGTACAGAGGTGTGGTAGTGTGGTGCAGAGGTGTGGTAGTGTGGTGCAGAGGTGTGGTAGTGTGGTGCAGAGGTGTGGTAGTGTGGTGCAGAGGTGTGGTAGTGTGGTGCAGAGTTGTGGTACTGTGGTAAAGAGCTGTGGCTGGGTTGGGTCTCACCGGTCCGTCACATAAACTGACCCACAACATCAAACTTTCAGGTCTCTCTCTCTCTCTCTCTCTCTCTCTCTCTCTCTCTCTCTCTCTCTCTCTCTCTCTCTCTCTCTCTCTCTCTCTCTCTCTCTCTCTCTCTCTCTCAAGGAAGGAAGGAAGGAGGAGATGACTGAAGAAAGAGGAAGGAGGAATATACTCAAGGCAATGTATTTCAGGTTGAGAGTCACACCCAATGGTGGTATTGTGTGGTGTTGAAGGTCACCAGTGTGTGTGTGCGCGCGTGTGCATTAGACAGCTAGATTACAGGTATGTTGAGACTGCCGGGGGGGGGGGAGTCATCCTCGTCACGCACCAGCTTGGAATCTGCGCGTTCTGGGAATTCTGGAAAGTGTTGGAACGTGAATCAATTTTAGACATGAAACCAACCCAATCCAAAGTAACCAGTTGAGTCTGTTATTAAGCCAGGGCTCAATATTCTCTCTTTTCCAGGTAAACTATTGATTATTGCCACACCTGTTAGGATAGCAATCGAACTCGTGTTGGTCCATTGAGCTTGATTGAGCCGGTTAGCCAATTTGGAGTTTCCCCGGTCATCAGAGCCAATATAAGGACATTTTTGAGTATCCGGCCCTCAGAGGGGACAATCCGGACGGTTCTGAGTAAATCCGGCCCTCACAACGAATGTAAGGACTGTATTGAGCATATCCGGCCACCAGAACCAATTTCCGGACAGTTCTGAACATATCCGGCCATCAGGAACAGTATAAGACCAGTTCTGAATATATCCGGCCACCAGAGCCAGCCATGATGATGAACACTGCTTACAGGGGGACCGGCGGAACAGTAACCCCCGGAACAGTAACCCCCGGAACATGGACCCCCGGAACACGGACCCCCGGAACAGTAACCCCCGGAACAGTTACCCCCGGGAACTTGACCCCCGGCTTCCACACCCCCATAACTCTCACCAATAAGAAGTATTATGACATCATGGCGTAAGTTAACATCAGAGACTGTCTGTCTAACTTGTTCACTGTCTGTTTGTCTGTCTAACTTGTTCACTGTCTGTTTGTCTGTGTTTAGTTTCAGTATTCTGGGTTTTAATGTCTGTGTCTGCCAGTTTATCTTTCTGTCTGTGTGTGTGTTAGATAATATGTAATTGTTTAATTAATATTTTCATTCAGTAATTTTTTGTTTTATTTAATAATTATAATGTAGTTACCTGTAATTAATTATTATATTACAGAGGGGCGAATGTATTGTGGTTATTACAAAAGTACAACGTACGTGGGTTACTGGTTAATAATAATAATCTCCAGGTAAATTATTATTATTATTTTGTTGTTGTTAATAATATTAAGTTATAAATTGATACTATTTCCACCCTTCATTAGTAGTCAACATGGTGTGTGCGCGCGTGTGAGAGAGAGAGAGAGAGAGAGAGAGAGAGAGAGAGAGAGAGAGAGAGAGAGAGCTCGCAACTGGACCAGCGATTGACTTATTGATGAGTCTGACCTTGTTGTCCGTGGTGGCTGGTGAAGGTGGTGGTGTCAGGGAGTGGTGCAATAGTGTGGTGGTGATATGGTGTCAGGAAGAGGTGCAATAGTGTGGTGGTGATATGGTGTCAGGGAGTGGTGCAATAGTGTGGTGGTGATGGTGTCAGGAAGAGGTGCAATAGTGTGGTGGTGATATGGTCAGGGAGTGGTGCAATAGTGTGGTGGTGATATGGTGTCAGGAAGAGGCAATAGTGGTGGTGATATGGTGTCAGGAGCAGACAGGGTGGTGGTGATATGGTGTCAGGAAGAGGTGCAATAGTGTGGTGGTGATATGGTGTCAGGGAGTGGTGCAATAGTGTGGTGGTGATATGGTGTCAGGAAGAGGTGCAATAGTGTGGTGGTATGGTGTCAGGAAGAGGTGCAATAGTGTGGTGGTGATATGGTGTCAGGAAGAGGTGCAATAGTGTGGTGGTGATATGGTGTCAGGAAGCGGTAATAGTGTGGGTGATATGGTGTCAGGAAGAGGCAATAGTGTGGTGGTGATATGGTGTCAGGAAGAGGCAATAGTGTGGTGGTGATATGGTGTCAGGAAGAGGTGCAATAGTGTGGTGGTGATATGGTGTCAGGAAGAGGTGCAATAGTGTGGTGGTGATATGGTGTCAGAAGAGGTACAATGGTGTGGTGGTGTCAGGAAGACCTCAGTAATGGCTCTTGAGTAGTGAAGATGGTTGAGTACACTGTCACCTGTACACTGTCACCTGTACACTGTCACCTGTACACTGTCACCTGTACACTGTCACCTGTACACTCATATGGACACTGTCACCTGTACACTGACATCTGTACACCTGCTATACACTGCAGTGACTCAACATAACAGGGCGTCTTGTGTGTTTGATGAATGAATGTTAACTATGACAGTTACTTGTGTCACCTCCAGGCTGTTACGCATGTCACTGTTGTCACGGAAGGATGTCACAGGTGTGGTGTATTGAATGTAACAAGATTGTTTGAGTTATTGAATTAGATACCAAGGTTGTTATGTTACCTTTATTGATTATTAAAGGGTGGGTGTGTATGTTTGTTCCTGCACACACACACACTCACGCACACACACACACACACACACACACACACACACACACACACACACACACACACACACACACACACAAAATGTTCGGTTGTATTCCTAAACGGATATCCTTTGTTATGTCTAACCTTGGGAGTTAATGCCACGTTCACACGGTAACTGTGAACGGTTGAGGTCACCACTTTCTGCTGTGTGTGTATGTGTGTGCGTTCTGTCTGCAGTTTCGTCTCGGTTATTTACAACAATGCGTCATAATAACCTTGCAGAAGTAGCAACACACACACAACCACGTCACTTTTTGTTTCAATTTGTGGTTATTTCTGTTTGTTGTCTTAACACTTCACCATCACTTTATGTACACACACACACACACACACACACTCTCTCTCATAGATAGATAGGTAGACAGATATTTCTAGGTAGGGAAATATAGGTATATGCAGATGGTAGATACATATGACTGTCTCTTGATCACCTGGTGACAGGCGTGTCTGCCACTGCTTGTCGCGTCAAGCCAGACGTGACCGGCAGTGAAGGACTTCCATAACACACACGTCATACACTGGCAAAAATAGGCCCCGTATTGAGCATAACACCCACCAGGATTGAGCATAACACCCACCAGGCCCCGTGTTAAGCACAACACTCACTCACTAGGAAGGGAAGAAATATCAGGGAGAAGTCAATATGCAGGAGCCAGCCGGTCCTGGATGGTTGGGGGTCAGGGATCAGGTTGGGGGAGGAGCAGGTGACGTTGTGTTGCAATCAGCTGATAAAGGGCCCGGCATGGCGCATAACCACTGAGCTAGAAATCGAAGTGTGGTGTTCATGCGCTTTCCGGGGCCTCCTCCTCTACCTCCTCCCCACGAACACACAACAGAAAGGGTGGCGGAGGAAGAGGAGGTGTGGGGAGGTAGGGCGGAGGAGGATGAGGGGGTGAGGGGAGGAGGAGCAATCGTCAGCACCGTTGTTCAGACAGGCAAGCAGCAGCAGCAGTCCGTCCTGTGATTCAGAGGAAAGAGGCAGTAACCCAGACACGCCTGCTCGCCACCGCTCTCTCTCATCGTTACCTCACCATCACTAACTACGTTGTTTGTGACTCGAGGAAGACCTTGATAACGCGAGGAAGACCTTGATAACGTGAGGAAGTTGTTGATAGCGGGAGGAAAACCTTACCGAGAGGAATAATGTTGTGCTCTGATATGTACGATTACCAGACCTACGCTAACGCCTTGGTGAAGAGTATCTTGGTGGACAGGTGAGCTGATCTGTGTAGTATTGGTCTAACAGGAGGTTGTGACCACCGTCTTACTTTCCATCATCATTGTGCACGGAGGCGACTTAATTACGATGCTGGGGGTGGTCAGTAACCTACCTACACACTGCTATATACCTTAGCAGTAAAAAATATATTATCTACTCATGTGACCAACACACACTCTCACTCATTAGTTATAAAAGGTGATGATTACGGCAAGAGATAGAGAATGGTTGGATATTTTCGATAACAACAACAACTTAGTAACAATGAGTCTGTTGTATAAGTTAATTATTATATATGATCTTTAATACACCATTAAACATCTGACACAGTGATGGCGTGTGTGGGGGGTAGGTGTAGTGATGGTGGTAGTAGTGGTAGGTGATGGTGGTAGGTCCTTGACATATCGCCGGCTCTACACTCGCCTAACCCGCTGCCTGACACACCACCTCCACCCACACCACCTTCACGCCCAGCCACACCACCTTCACGTCCAGCCACACCACCTTCACGCCCAGCCACACCACCTTCACGTCCAACCACACCACCTCCACCCACACCCCCATCTACCTTCACCACACCCCCACCCACACTCCATCCACCTCCACCCCTCCAGTCACATTCCCTCCACCTATACCCCATACCACCTCCACCCACATTCAGTCCCCCTGTGGACCTTGGAACAGGGGGGGACCTGTAGCAAGATTGTAATAGTCGTTGAGGAAGCCCCACGGGTCACCAGTACCAACCAGTCTTGTGGTCCTATCATAAACTTTATCTTTCGCTATTGTTAAAACGTAACTCAATCCCCTTATTTGCACACACACACTTCCATATCAAGATAGGTTAAAGAAACTTAACTTGCATTCCCTAGAAAGACGAAGAGTGCGGGGAGATATGATAGAAGTATTTAAGTGGGTGAAAGGAATCAATAAAGGTGATATAGATAAAGTTCTTATAATATCCGAGCAGGATAGACCTGAGCAACGGATTTAAGTTGATAAGTTTAGGTTTAGGAGGAGATAGGAAGGAACTGGTTCACAATAGGGTGGTGGACGAGGAACAAGCTTAGCAACTATGTAGTAAGTGCTGGAACGCTGGAAAGTTTCAAAAGGAGGCTAGATAGATTCATGGATGATAGAGAGTGGTAGTAACTCTCGACAGGAGCTGCCATGCACAGGCCGTACCGGCCTATTGCAGACTCCTTATGTTCTTACACACACACACACACACACACACACACACACTTAACAAAATGGACCAGCTCAGGGCCATTGTTAGTAAAGAGAACATAGATATAATTGCAATAACGGAAACATGGATAAAAACCAAACAGCAAGCATTTTTTAGCAGAATTTCATATTCCAGGATATAACCTATTTAAATTTGACAGAGTAGGGAAGGAGAGGTGGCGGTAGCAGTGTATATCAGGTGTCATTAAAAAGCTGCAATAAATCAAACATTAAAACAAATAGCGACAATGAAAGTATTTGGGTAGAGATTGGCGAGGGCAGAATCCGTAGTCATTGGTGTTATATATAGACCACCTAATTTGGAGTAGGAATTATTTTGCAAATTGCTATGGAGTGAAAGGCTGAAGAAGGCATCTGATAGAAACAATGTATGTATTCTAGGCGATTTCCAACTTTTCAGGGCATAGATTGGAAAAATCAACTTAGCGATAATGAATCCGAAGATTTTCAGAAGTACAAGATAGTTTTTTATATCAATCGCTAAACTCGCCCACTAGAGGAAATATCCCTCGATTTAGTTCTCAGTAATAATAAAAAATCTAGCAAAAGATGTTGATTGGAGACGAACTAGAAACAGTGATCATAAAGCCACATATTTTAAATGAGTTGGCGGGGATGGCAGGAAGAAGGAAAAATTCGGCCTTGATCCCGGATTTTAGGAAGCTAATTACGGTAGCTTAAGGAGACCTATGATGACCCTATGGTCAAAAGATTATCCCCCACACCTCGAAACTGTCAACTTAGGACGGATAACCCCGAATTTAATTTAGCAGCTACTATGAACAATTATTGCGACAATCAATAAAGCCCAAACAAACACATCCCTAAAAGCAGTAAATTCAGATCGACACGGAACCAACCAAATGGATGAATAATAGACTCTTAGATCTTC